GTCATTCACCACAGGAAGAACCAAGGCTTCACTCACGTGTCTGGTGCCTCAGCGTCCTCCACACAGCCCCTTTCCCTCTGCCTGGCTTGCCCAGCTTTCCTTACAGAGTGGTAGTCTAAGGCTGTAGAGTTTCTCATGGGGCAGCTTCCAAAAGGGAGCATTACAAAAGGGGCAGAAGCTGGAAATCTCCTTTAGCCTGTCCTCAAAAGTTACACAATCATTTCTGTTGCACTCTACAGATCAAGGCTAGGCACAAGGCCAAAGCAGACTCAAGGGAAGGGAAATAAACCTACCTCTCAAAGAGAGACGTGACAAAGAATTTGCTGTCAGCCATATTTAATCCACCACAGAAACTTCTCGGATCTTGTTTCAGCCCATGCTAAGACAGTTCCTGATATGAAGAGTTCATCACAATACAAGGGCAGCCCATTTACAGAAAATATCCCAGCTCGTAAGCCTGGACCTTCCCACCCCCAAGTGCATGAGCTGACATTCCTGGCAGACACTGCCCTGATGAGGCCCACCAGGGCCTCGCAGGTACTACTTGCCTGTCTGAGGCTCCTCAAAATGCAGACATACCAAATCAGAATTACTGTGAGTATTAAAGTTTAAACGTTCACATGCAGCAAATTAATTTTGAAATCAAAAACAAACATATCATTACCATAGCCTTCCTTATAAATAACACCCAAAGCCTGCATTTGGGTTCCTTGGTGAACCTCATGGCTTTATTGAGCCCCCCATGAGCCCCAATATGGAGCACCCCACAATTTATCATCTCTATCTCACTGAGGTTCTCAAGGAGATCATCAACCAGAAAATCTCTGGGAACTCAGCCCCTCTGTAATCTCCTTGTGAACTGAGCCCCAGGACACCAGCCCCATGGAGCCACCTTCCCAGCATCTGGGGCTCAGCTCACCTCCGGGGAGGGAGGAGGCCAGAGATTAGAACAGGGGATTCTTGCTGTTAGAGATACATAGAAAGCATTGCTTGACTACTGGGTATTTACCCCAAAGATACAAATGTAGTGATCTGAAGGGGCACGTACACCGCAGTGTTTATAGCAGCAATGTCCACAATAGCCAAACTATGGAAAGAGCCTAGATGTCCATCAACAGATGAATACATAAAGAATATGTGGTGTACACACACACACACACACACACACACACACACACACACACACACACA